GCTCCCTGTGCTGTGTACGTATTCACGCCAAACAAACCATGACAGGTCGGCGGACAGATACGGGAGTGACCCCTCCTTTCACTCCGTCCACCCCTCCCCCCCCCCTTAATAACCTCAGAAGGGCACTGTGGTGGGGAGGGGTGAGTCGGACCAACAGGGGGCGCAAAGTGGAGGAGGCTGGGGTCAGGGGTACAGCTGAGATTGGGAGAGGAGGAGGGGAGGAAGATTATGTCGGAGGGCTTGGATTGGAAAGGGGGGAGGAGAGGGAACTTGAATGAAGAGAGAGAGAGCAGAGAGAGAGAGAGAGGATGTTGAAAAAAAGGAAAATCAACAAACCAATAAACTACGATCTAGAATGTATCCAAATGAGTGTGAACAGGTGTGTTAAACACGTGTAGAAGACCTATTCACGTCTTGAGTCCTATACTCAATAGAATGCCTTACGGGCGAGGCTGAGGCAGGCCACATGGTCTCAGTGAGTCACACGATTGGACAGTTTGAGATGTACACACTTTCAACAACAAGGAACAAAAAGTGCAGAAAAGGACACGCGCTGACAAAACGAACAAGCCACAAGAAACAAAGCTTTTAGAGTGGTTTGGAAAAATCAAAGTATTTTTATTTACAGTATCAACAGAAGAGTGAGGACAACATCGTGTAACTTCTTCTCCCTGTGCGGCTTGGCACGATTGTCACTTTGGCGCTCGCTCAGAGACCCACACATTCCACCCCACAAACCCACACATTCCACCCCCAAAACACCACTCACCCCACTCACCCCACAAACCCCACACATTGGGCCCACGGTTGTCACTTTGGCGCTCGCTACTCAGAGACCCGAGAAGAAACAAGGAGGAAATGTCTACAAATGTGACGTCACAAGGCAAGTGGCTGTCCGCCATTTTGTCTTTGTCTGCTCACTCCCGCCAGAGCTTGGTACCGACCGTGGGCCCAATGTGTGGGATGTGTGGGGTGAGTGGGATGTGTGGGGTGAGTGGGATGTGTGGGGTGAGTGAGATGTGTGGGGTGAGTGGGATGTGTGGTGGGGTGTGTGGGATGTGGGTTCCAGTGTGGCTACTTGGCCAGTGCCGCCAAAATCCTCCGGGGCGGGGTGAAAGGTCGGCGCGCGTGCAGCACCTGTCGGTTGTCTACCATGAACACGTCGCCATGTTGCCACGTCACGTCGGCGGCCAGCTGGTCCAGCGTGAGGTCAAGGTCGTCCATGACGTCAGGGGGCATGGGGCTCCCGTCCCCGAAGGTCACCGCTCGCTCCGGGCAGTTACGGCAGTCTCGCCACCCTTTGTACGCGGCGATGATGGAGTTGAACCACATCTGTGGG